GGACAGTGATTCGAATCACCAAACTGAATCACTGTCCCCCAGATCAGCCAAATCCAAAGCAAATACTAGCTGCTTTGCACATGCCTAGGTGATAAGGCTTCTTCTGCTCTGATGGAAAACTTCTCTCCTCTCAATTCCAACGCACAATTTACATCTAGAAAAAGCACACCATTGATGAAGGGGAAGTAAATTAACATAACTATGGTATATAAAACACTACAGGCCAATCTCAAAGATACTGTCAGTTACTACAACACACAAAAATTGGGTTCTGGTCCCAGCTACCACATCTTTCCTGTTTGCTTGGCACGAGCGGGGGTTGCAACCAATAACTGTATAATATAAAAGTGCATAAGCAATTTGGGAGTAAAGAGAAGCAGCCAGGACCTCACCCTCCCAGGTGAACACCCTAACCCAGATAGTCATGCTCCCTTTTGTGCTCTTGTCTTCACCCCACAGCTCCTTAATTAACCCTCAGGCTACTGTCTAAAAGGTGGGCACCACCTCTGTTCAAGAATGACAGTGGGGTACTTCTGCATCAATCAGGTATATGGCATGCTCTACAGATGCCCGACAGATGAGAGATTTCCCCAGAGCCTAGGAGCCTCCCAGAACCAATCTGGATCACAACGTGGGCTAGGCAGACTCTAGATGCTTGATCTGGAACAATTCTCAGCACACACATGTACCTAGAGCTCAGATAACAGGAAACTTTTCAGGCCAACAGAGAGGCACATCATGATTCTAGGCACTAGAGCTAAAGCTTTGTTGCCCATCTAGATTATTTTTAGTGATTTAGACACTTATATTCTACCATGTCTGCCTGCAAAAATAATCAGGATCTTGCACTATGCTCTTTTCTAATGGAAATGAAACTTATTTCTTCCAAACTTGACAAATACATTGGAATTCTTTTCCCAGAAAAGCGAGTATCTGAAATAAATCCTGCCACGGGTTAAATAATGAAAGTTGTTTGAGAATACCATTATCATGACATATCAGAAAGCTGTTCCGATACAGTTTCTTTGTGCTGCCTTTGGCAAATCACTTAACTCCTCATTTGCAGTGAGACCATGCTGTTTACTTGCCTACATCAGGAGAGAGATCTAATACTGTAAAGAGTTCTGAAAACTGTAAGAGTGTGTGTGTGTG